GTGAGCTGAGCTTTGATACCCCCACACCATAACTCCACTTTAATCTCATGCTTTTTGACATCTCCCCCTTTTCTTTTTCAGATTCTACTTCAATAGAGTAGAATCAAAAATATGTATATCCAGGTTATGTAGCAAATTTAAAATAACACTATCCTAACAGCAAACTAAATCCCACACTTTTTGACATTAGTCAATAAATTTCTTTGATTACTCACAGTAATGGTATAAATTCAACCAATTCAATCCTGTAATGGTATCAGAATTCTTAACCATATTGATAATGCCAATAATAAACATCCAAATTATAAATTTGATAACTGTCATGATATGCAAAAATACACAAGCTAAATTGATTGTACACATATATAGCTATATTATTTTTAACAATTCTTATTATTAACATAAATTTATAAACAAAACTTGGCACAAAATAATTCCTGGGAAAATATATAAATAAATAAACACCATACCAAACAAGTGGGCAGGTTTAGTTTGCCTTGTCTAAATTTTATTTAAGATGGTGGTATGTACTGTTTATCAGTTGTATCAGTTGGCACATAAAAACTGTATAGATTTTTTCACCACACTCTTTCCTACTCTTCTCTGGTGTCTTTCAATGAACATGTATACAAAAAAAGACCTGTTTACTCTTCCCATTTTGCCATACAATGTACAATTTTGAGGTGTAAACATTAAATATACTGTATGTTTATTTTTTACTATAAATATAAGGTATTGAACGATTTTGTGATGATATTGTACAACTTTAAGAGTTTGAGGGTAAACAGGTCTTCAAAAAAATGAAGAAAAATACAGGTTACAATTTCAAATGTCAAAGTAAACAATTAATTCTCTTCAATATATATAGGATACACTTCCTACCTCTGACCTCAAAACTTGCCTCCTCAACAAAATAACATATGGAGCTCTCCTGGCTGTGGTATTGCAATGCATTATTTTCAAGAAAACTTACAATTTTTTCTGCTGGTCCCACCCCACCTCAGAGACAACAACACTCAATATAATCTATCCCAAAATTTATTAACCTGTACATGACAATTCTCTTTGCATGTGCTAAAAAAAATTAAAAAGTAATGAAAAGCTTGAGGTGGATGGGTTTAAATTGTATAATGAATAAGAGGGCCATCCATAAATGATGCCCATCCATAAATGATGCCCCACAAATCATCACATTTTGTCACAAAAATTTAGACATCCCTCATAATAGAAATATGTCTACCGTAATTCCAAATAGTGTTTTTATACCATAATGCCTGCGATGAATACTGATAACTCATTTAGATGTGCATTTTTCCCTGGTTCTATAAAGAACTAATAATATAGTAACAGTATAAAAAAACATGAAAAAAAATTTTAAAATTTATCATGACCCAATCAGCTTATGAAAATTGTTGAACCATAAAAATCCTGCACCTCTAGTATATTTATGTCATTAAATTTCTATGAGTGGAATTTCAGTCTGCATTAACACCCCAATTATAGGTCATACATTTCTTTTTTAACAGTGCCTTCTGTTTTATTTTTTAATCTCTTCCATTATCTTTTTGTTTTAGAACGATATTTGTGCGCTTATGAAAAGAGAGGATGGAAGATGGCACAGGGCAAGGGTCGACTACATTAGACAACAACATCATGGGCATGTGGCAGAGTAAGATTAAAATGTCTATTTTTTTTTAAAATGTGTTTATAAATAATATTGTAAATTCCGTTTTACATACTGAGGCTAATTATTTAATTAAAAAAATAGTTGGTTGATTTAACTTATTTATAGAGTTATAATAAAGGATTTGGAGCAGAGCTGGAGCTTCTAACTCTTGAGCAGGGTCTTTTTGCCTGTAGCTGGCAAAAAATGTTGACAGTTCCAAGCTCCAAAAATTAAACTGCAGAAATGTCAACACAAAAATAAATAATACTCCTGCAGTAGGCATAGAATAATCAGTATCCAAAAGCCTCTTTTGTAATTATGATGCACCTTCGAAATTTTTCTAAATGCTTTGTGATATTGCAATTATAATTTATTCATAGTTTCTTTAAGAACATTTTAAAGCCCACATCATTTTAATTTTAATATAACTTGACCAGACTTGACTTGTTAACATTTGAGAGTTGAATTGAGTTCATTAGTAAATATAAGCTGAATGTTCTTTAAAGAATGGAGGAAGCTTGATTCATCATTGCACACAAACAAGAATGGTGATTAGGATTAAGGATTTTTGTTAGCATTAGGGCCGCCCAGGGTGGGTCAAGATTTTGACACCCCCTTGAAAATACTCTGCATTTGGCTATAAATGCTGCTCAATATAATATTAGATGTTACACAAAGTGCCTCCCAGGGCTGACTGACCCTCCTGCTCCTTTTCCAATACCACTGTTTGTAGGCTTACATGAATAGTTGAAATTCTAGTTAATAACATGAGTCAGTGGCAATAATATTAATTAGCACGTTTCTTAAAATTTGTTTTGAGCATTAGGTGCCCGCGCGCGCCGCCACCACACCCCCCACCCATGATTATAAGAATCATTTAATCATTACAACAGTTCAACTGCTCACACAAATTATGTATCAGAGTGATCTCGTTAATTAGTAAAAAAAAATTAAATTAACACACACAAAAACTGCTCCAAATCCCTGGTTATAATTTTTGTTTAATTATTAATCTATTTTTAAAGATTTAATGTGTACATTTTCATTCATGAATATCAGATGCCTTAAAGCAGTACTTTAACATTACTGAATATTTTAACATATTGCATCTCAGTAGCAGCAGCCTAATTTTTAGATAACAATTAGTGTATCACATTGAAGATAATATTTTATGTAAAGTAGTAGTTGTAGATGGTACAACTTAAATAATTTAGTCTTGTATACCCTATTTTTATCAATTTGTTTCTTTCTTTTTAGAGTCTACTTAATAGATGATGGCTGTAAAGTCTCTACTGCTGTTCAAAGGTAAATTTTTATTTATTAAAACCAGACTATATAAATTTATACCATTTTTACTTAATAATTTGTATCACGCTGCTAATATTACAATTTCAATGCATCTTGTGTAGACTTATGAAGCTACCCACACAATTTTCTAATTTTGTGTAGACTTATGAAGCTACCCACACAATTTTCTAATTTTCCGGCTCAAATTCATAAGTGTTGCCTTTGGGGAGTGCAGCCTATCTCAATTAAGGTGGAAGAAGGAGAAATAGGATTATTAGCAAAAACAAGGTATGTTCTCTTTGACAGTTGGAACAGTTAATGGTCGAAACTATTCTTTTTTTTTCTGTAACTTGAATTAAATATCATCTCATTTACTATGGAGCTCTAAAACCTTAATTTTAAACCTAAAGAACCTTTTCTAAATACATAGTTGGCAAACTTTTAAATTATTGTTTATTTACATCTTCTATTCTTTAGACAGTGTGATTTTTTAAAATGAATTCTTCATTTTGTCTAACTTGAGAAAAACCTAGATTGTACATTTTAAATTTTTTTTTATTATTACCATGTTGGTTTTGGAATCTCTTGATATCTTGATCAATTTTTCCAAATATTTCTGTTAAGGGTCGTTCACAAATTACATCACGCAAAAAATGAACTTTTTAGACACACACACACACACCAAGAGCTTGAGATCATTGCTCTAAATGCTAATTAATTTTTTAAAGAAAGATTATCTGCCCTGTTTTCCTTCTTTGCTTCTGGCCAATAATTGATTTTAGGTACAGGGGGGGATGATATTAATAACATTTTCTATTACATGTTGAAAATCCTATTAAAAATATTTTAACAATTAGGCCATGTGACACTTGGGATCCATCTGCTACACATTTCATGAGAAAATTGATTGAAAGTAAGTAATTGAAGTATTCTATAAGTTTGATGCTTTATTTTAAAAAATGGCTTGAAGAGAAGGTGGAAAGAAATAAACTATTTAAACTTAATTTGTACCTAACTGTGCAAAACATGTTGTTTACACTTGTCAGTCATCATGTAGGGAAAGGATTTCATTGACCCAAATTAGAAAAAAGTTGTCAATATTAATTATGGTGTACATCATTACAGTGCTGTTAAAAAAGTCTATATCTTTGAATGGTGGTAATACAAAGTAAGATTGTATGTGTTTCATGTAAGATGGTCTTAGTTTGAAAAGTTTTGTTTCTTTTTCAGTTATTCTTGCAAATGTCATTTATTTGTTTAAATAGCAAGTCAAGGTTGCCAAGCAGAAGTAGTTGAGAAAGATGCAGATGATATTCTTCATCTGAGATTATATTTCATCACTAATAATGGTTCCCTGTGTTTCAACGAAGCATTAGTAGCGGAGGGTTATGCAGCTTCTTTGACGACACTCACGGGTAAGATGAGCCTCCAAAGACTTGAGAAAGGATCCTTTTAAACTCACGTGATGTTAACACGATGTTTTCTTTTATTTAAAGACATTATAACCCCTTTAAAATCAAATGATAATAAGCTAGTTTAAAAATAACTAAATTGTCATCTGTGTAGGATATATAAAAATTAAATGAAACTTAGAAATTTCTTGATAAAATTTAAAGGTCCAATGAAATAAATATTTTTTAGTGAAGACACTGGTAATAAAAATTTTTAAAACTTATTTTCAAAATCAACATATTTTATTTTTGTTTTTCTGAAATAGTTGGTGAAATAAATCTGCGGTGTAAAAGCTGGTGGGACATTAGAATATTAATAATACAATTAAATAATTTTTAAAATGCATTAAAAGTATTTACACGAAAAAAACTTTGTTTTTAGCGGTTGTTTAATTTTATATTTAACAGGGAGTGAAAACCGGACTATGACACCAAAGGATGTCCTTGATGTGACCCAACCAACTATACATAAGATGCTATCAACTACAAACCAACAGTCTCTCCTTAGAGACTCCATTAAACAGCAGACAGACTATAGAAATGAGTCTACATTTGAAGTCATGCCACCTCTAGAAGTTACTCATGAGGAAATGCCACCTCTAGAAGTTACTCATGAGGAAATGCCACCTCTAGAAGTTACTCATGAGGAAATGCCACCACTAGAGGCTGACCTTGAAGCTGCACCACCACAATTGAATGTGGCTGGTGACATGCCTCAACGGAGGTTTACTTTTAATTACATGGAGTCACATATAACCACTAGCCATTTATGTCACTCTGCCTCTCCACCTAACGATACTCGCCTGTCTGGATTGGCGCTTAAAACCCAAACACTTAATACATTAAAACATGATGCTGATTACAAAAACAGTGGCAGTCTTAGCAGTTCTGACAGCTCTTCAAGCTTCAAATCTTGCGTCGGTGATTTTCCTCCACAAAAATTCTTGTCAACACTGGGGAAAACACCTGACCTGCAGACTTCACTGCCTAATGAAAAAGGTGCTGCTTCATCTATCTGTGTGGAAAATAGCTCACTGTTCTCAAGCCTCTCAAAATCAATTCTACCACAAGACTGTCTGGAGATTCCAGAAACCATGAAAAAGTTTTGCTTAGGGAGGGGGAAATTTTTATGCCAGAGTATTGTTGAACATAAACCGTCCAAGAAAGAAGATGGAGATCTGCAGAGTGTGGCTCATTCGTTGTCAGAAAGCTCCAAGGTTACAGGTGATAATTTAAAAACAGCTTGCTTAACTACACAAGGCAAACAGTCAAGCAATTCTCACTTAAAAATTCATGAAAATATAAATGAGAACAAACTTTCTGGCCAAGGAGCTAGACCTAAAGAAACCAAATTGTCATTACAGTTCAGCACTTCAGACACTGAGAGATTTAACGATGCACAAGATATTCAGGTTTCAGCCAAAAATTCAGGCCAGTTGTAAGTTTAAACTTTCGAAATTAGTTGATTGTTTTAGTTTATAAATTCTTCTGCCACTTATTCTACATAAAAAGTATTTTTAAACACTACATAAAAATTAAAATAATTATACTGTACTTTGTAAAAGTGGGGTTGGGTTTATTTGCTGAAACAACACACGGTTTCTATTTGATACATTTTTTAATACTGGTCAACAGAAAAAATGTGAGTACGATTCTTCAAAGCTGTTATTATCAGAAATTGTCATTTTAAAACAAACTGGCCAGACATGATTAATAGGCATATCATAAAATGAAAAGTTTAAAAAGTTATTTAATTACACAAACATACCCTTGTTTACTCTATTTATGTTAGGGTGTAAGAAAAAGAAAGGTCAGTAATAAGTGGTATTTGAAATATGCATCTTTCAGGTCATTTCACAAAATGTCCTGGAGTTATGAAATAGAAATACTCAGATCTTTCAGAGTGGCTTTTAGTGGGACATTGCCTAACTTTGAAATAACACGTCTACTCTGATATTGTTCAATATCATTGGAAACCTTTTTTTTTTTTTTTTTTTTTTTTTTTTTTTTTTTTTTTTTTGTTTTTTTTTTTTTTTTTTTTTTTTTTTTTTTTTTTTTTTTTTTTTTTTTTTTTTTTTTTTTTTTTTTTTTTTTTTTTTTGTTGTTGTTAAATTGAAAACTGTGTAATTCAGAACGTAATTAATTTCTTGAAAGTATTAGTAGTAATATAGTTGCCAGGAAAAAAAAAATCTATATAAGGAGTTGGCAGCTCTTCAGAGGCTAGTGAAATGTGTCGCTAGGATAACTGGTTATTAATTTTAAAACAACATCACTGCCATGAATTATTCTGAGATCCATTTATTTGTGAATTTTTTGGAACATGATAATGAGCTGTAGTTTGGCGTTCATCATTCCCTGGGTTGTTAAGGGTTTATGTTATGGTTTATGGATCATTTTGTTTTTAAGTCCATTTGACATTTGATTTTAAATGATCATTGCGTTATATTTTAAATGATGATGTAATTGTATTTGTTATTCAACTTTTTTATCAGAGAGACATCAGTAAATTCAGAATCTGAGACCAGCTCTCTTGTAACTTCAGGCGTTAGAGGTAGATACAGGTAAATAAATGGCCCAACTTTATTCTTACAAAGAGACTTTAATACATATTTTTCTGTTATTGTTACACCACTCTCACATTTTATAAAACTTGAATGACATAATTTAAGTACAACCCCTTTTAATGCATTAGTAGTTCTGTTGAGATGTGATGGTTTAGGATGCATCAGTAGATGACTATCAATTTTTATCTTGCCTATGGGACATTGGATTAAGGGTAGTGCAAACGTTGAATTTACCAATACCATTTTACACCTGATCCAATTTTTTCATAGTTATAAATTTGCTGACACTCGAATGCAATTACAAAATAAAATAAAAAAACTATCCCATTTTAAAATAGGTTCATTGGGTGACTAGGTGACATATATCCTAACAGTAGTAATATTAAAAGGTTTGGTTGTGATATTAAATAATTTAACTTTTAAATTTACATTTAAAAATTGTGACACAGGAAGAGTGGTGGAGGCCTTTCCAATTCTAAACGTGCTGCAAACATGGATTGGATAAAAATAAGAGAAGCTCAGTTCCAAGTTATTGAAGGAAGAAGGTATGGTGATTTGTAAAAGTTGGGTTGCCATGATGAATCAGCAGAAAATTTCTATTCAGCCACTGTGCCAATCAATTGTTACAGGCCTTTTTGTGACAGATTAATTGGCAAGTCTGCCTACAGAATTTTTTTTCTCTAAATCTAGATGTTTTTAATGGAATTTTGATTATTCTTATGGGACATGATCGAATTTGCACCAAATTGTTAGCTGATGTAGCGAGGCCATTTTAATTGTTAATTAGCCATTAGCTAATTTGTTTATCAGAGCAACCCTTGTTACAGTTGTTATATTTTATTCTTGATTTATGGATGAAAAAGTATGCAACAAATTAAAATACTTAGTATTATGGTGTTTTTAAATAAAATAGATTTCTTGTTATTTCCAATTTCTCACCAAATTGCAATTCTTATAACTTTATTCTAGGCTGCTGGAAACTCTAAGAGCTACTAGTGGACAAACTCTTCCTACTCAAATAGAAAATTATCCAATGGTTAGCAAATTTATAATCACTTGAAAGAGTCATTCATGAAATGCAGTAGAAGCATTAGTTAAATAATTTACATCAATTTTTTTTAAATGCCAAATTTGTAATAATAAATTTTGATCACAATATTTTATGTAGTAAATTATTTTCAAGAATCATGACCCTACCACGCCAGTTTTACATAGGATATGTTCCATCAATTATCGAAAGTAATAATAAAGTACAAAGCCAGGCACTCCATTTAATCTCCTGAGTTTTAATATCTACTCCAATAGTAGCATGTGAAATACATACTAATACTAAGCCCATAAATCTAAGATGGTCTCTGGCACTTGCCAAAGTGGCTACTGGCTCTGAATGATGATGATTTAACAAAACAAAAAAAATTAAGCAAAGTTATATCTGAAGTAAGTACTAGTGACCTGCTTTAGGGCACTATCAAAAAAATGTATTTTTATTGTGTTAGACAGCCATTTCCATCAAATGAAGTTTTTCAACTTTTTCCAACAGATTGTATGTCAGGACAGACCATTGCCACAGCCTGTTCTGGGTGTACTTGTCCATGGTATTGGCTTGCCTAGTCTAGCCTGCGACGTTTCAGAGTTACCTTTCCACAGGGATGTTAAAAAGGTATTCATTTCTTCATGAGAACCTATTGCTAAGTGCAGTGTTTTCCAAAGTGTGGTACACGTAGCCCTGGGGGTACGGGAAGAGTTTTATGGGGGTACGCGCTGCAAAGGAAAATATAATATTTTTTTATGTTATTGAAGTATATGCAATTTATTCAGTGTTATGAAAATTATAGACAGGGGTACACAGATGTCGAAAGTTTGGGAAACACTGGTTTAGTGCATGTAATGTTAATTTAAAAATCAATGCTCATTTTGATATAGGGTTAAGTCTTAAACATTATATTTGTTTAATATGGTATTGAGTCGGTGCAAAAACCAAAATATTTATTGTATAAACTAGAACAACGATGCTAATTAATAATTGAAGGATTGCATTCAAGCTATGTGAAGGAAATAGTAAAACAAGGTATGTTGAAGCTTGAATCTAAAGAAGATGCTCTAGTTTATAAAATATATATTTTGGATTATTTAAATCTTCAACTTCTTTATAAAGCCCTTGTAGCTTCATGTAAGGCTTTACAATCTTTGAAATTTTTTTTTATCTTAGGTTTTGGAGAATCATTCCATTAAGACGGCGCAGAGCATTCAGACCTTTGCTTGGGCAGCTGTACATAGTGGTCGGCATGTGGTGGGCATTGCACCTGCCAGACACGGCAAGACGCTTGCCTACGTTCCTGGATTAATCTCCGAGCTTCTGGATGAGATACCTTATGTGGCACTTCCAAATGGGAAGGGTGTAAGTCATAAACCGTCATGTCAGTTCGGATGTTACTTTCATTCTGAATTCTAATTATGCTCTAAAATCTATTTTTAATCTTATTCACTCTATAAAAACCATGTAAAGTTTTTTAAATGGTTACTCCATAAAGATCTATAATAATAATTCCGGATTGGATCTTGTCCACCTCAAGGCCATTAAGGAGTAAAACATTCTTTTTTAAAAAAAAAATTTCAAACATGCGTAAATAGTGTTTTTTGGGGGTAAATTTTGACAAAAGACCTAATTGTGCAAAATTATTCAAATAAAAAGTTTAAAAGTTATTTTTTTATATTTAAAAATTTATATTTAATACAAATACATTAAAAATATATTATAACAAATAATTTGAAAAATTTTGTTTTTAAATTATTGAAATTTTAATAGGTGATAAATAAATAGAAAAATAATAATAATAAAGCTATGGCTTACATGACTAAATCAGGCCTAAACAAATACAAAAACATTCTAAGAGTTGTCATGGCTGAGGGTATCTTCTAACAATCAACAATTATTTCAATTAGATAGAAATGTTTATCACATTTCAAACATTTAATTACCATTACAGTCTGATGCTCTTTCTTTTAAAGACATTAACTCCCCATCATGGAATTAGGCTTATGTCCAAAGTGGTAAAGAAAAACAAATAAAGTGTCCTGTAGGTGTTATTTTCTTCCAGTTAGTGTAGAGGTACTTCTTTTTCTTCTCTCATGTGATTGGCATAAGCATTCGTGTAGTCACAAATTTTCAACATGATATCCTGACAGAAAAAGATTAAAGAAATTTCCTGTGGAAATAATTAGTTTATTTTTAAATTGCAGGCTAGCATGAGATAAAAGCAGGATTTTATTGATATAACACAGATATAACAATATTTTAACAGTTGTAATAATATAAATTATTATATAATAAGAAAGTAACTTAAATTATAAGAAAAGGAATATTTTTTTTTAAAAAAAATTATCGAGCATAAATCTAAATCTTAGGCCTATGCCGATATTCATTAGTACTGCAATAAAATATTCCTTACCTGCAGTTTTTAGTTTTTGCATCTCATTTCTAGTTGTCTGCTTTTCAGGATCCATAATATTGAGACCAGGTTTTCTTTTAGGGATAAATTTAGTATGGCTTGAGGGGGTCCCTGGTCAACATCTTCATGTTTTTTTTTCAAGTCAAAGTCAATTGGCAATGTATTATCTGCATTGATTAGAAAAAGAATATTTTAAATATAAAGCTATGAGAAATAAACTACCTAATATGTTTTAAAAGGATAAATTAATATCTTCCATTATTTATTCGTTAGAGTTAGGCAAACACAAAAACAACTACTACAACAATGAATTCTAAAATTAGCTTTTTGATCAGCTGATTATGTAAGCAACCATTTTTATTTTTAAAGCCAAAACATGATTGGAAAATAAAATTATCATTACAAAATTGTAAGACTATAACTAGGATACTATTATTAAATTGGAAAATATATTTTGTTGTTCAGATTATTTAGAAATGTTAATTTTGTACATTTACCTAAACGAGTGGATAGCTGTTTCTTTTCCTATACAAGTAAAGTTTCAAATTATGTGAAACATCCACGTCTTCATACGATGTTGTTTCATATTAATCTGTATCCCAATCATCAGAAGAGTCACTTAGGGATTCATCTCAGTTAATTTTATTGTTTTCAAAGTCCAATTTGTCATTTAAAATAATTTTTTCAAAGCAGCTAGCTTGATTTGAGTCGCGACAAGGAAAAAAAATGGACGATGTAAACTTGTCTCGGTCACGTTATAAAAAATAATTTTATTTTAACCTTCTTGGGACGGAGTGGAGTATCGAAAAAGACAGATGTCCGATCTATCGACCCGATAATTCAAGCCTCGATATTTGGCTGGCTAGTCTTTATACCAGCGAATCAGATTGCTTCATACATATTCCTGCAAATCCCGAAATTGTAATGGCGTCCTGTTTCTTTGTTCCTCTTGAGAGGTTTTTGCTTCCCAGTAGCTTCTGTAGGCTGAAATAGGAACGGTTGCCTGCTGTTATCCTTTCTTTCACCTCCGACATTATCTCATTATACTAGTTAATAAGTTTATAGTTGTCCCTAGATATTTGAATGTAGCCACTCTCTCAAATTTGTGGTTGTTTGTATTGATGTTATCATTAGCATGGAAGAAAGATTATATTAGTTCATTCAATTTCCTACAAGAATATTTATAGTTTTATATATATTAAGGAAATAGTTTATTTTTTATAAATTATTGTGCAATGCGAGTGGCGAGCTCGTAAAAAGTGCTCCATCATTTTGGCCCAGACACCAAGAAAAGGCTCTGTCCCAAAAGGGTTAAAAGATAATTATATTTAAAACCATAATATTTATAAATTAAAACTATTTTACTTTAATACTATAATTTTATTTAACTGAATAAAAAATAAATATTACAACAACAACAAAAATGTAACCTCTCCTATCTGGCAAAAAAGCCGTATTTCTCTATAGTTGGACCACACAGATTTAATAGATTTAGAACTGGGAAATCAACCTGTAGTTGCACTCCATGTCGTTCTTAGGGTTTTTAGGCTGCTCTGACTGGTGTTGACTTACTTTATTGATTTCATATGCTTATCGGAAGGGTTTTAACAGTCAGGATGTATTCACGAGTGTGATGGTAATTTATTTCCTAAACTCATTGGCAACTTACAAGCCATCGAAAAAGGCATCAGTATCCATCACTGCCCACTCTATTTAAAGTCAGTACAAATAAGCATTGTTTAATATATGGAGTGCCATCTGGAATTATTATTATAGATTATGCATATTTTACACGTGCACCATGGTTGCGGCTATATTATTTAGTTGTCACACAATTGGTTATGTTATCTAATAATTGTTTGATCAGTTTTATTTTATTGTGAATGTATATCTATTTCTATCATTCTCATAGCATTTATGAAATTTCTTATAATTAAAAAATCAAAGTAAAACAAATAGGTCTAGGCTCCTACTTTTTAAGTCAATAAAGTGCATTGGTGTTCATTTGATACAAAAACTGCTTTAACAGCCTATAGCATTGATTGTGGTCCCAAACTGGAGGAAAGCAAGAGATGTTCATGACCATGTTCAAAAATTTGTTGGTTCTGATAATAATCGGAAAAAAAAGATCCCAACTATTGTCATATATGCCGGTGGCAGTGAAGATGAGGACACTGTAAGCAGAACTAACTTTTTTATAATAGTAGTTTATTTTCTTAAATATATTTCCTTTTTTTTTTTTTTTGTGATCAATCTTATTTTTAACTTGACAATGGATATGTTAGTTTAAATCTCTCCCTGATAAGCTAAATACAGATGGATTCCATTGCCATACATAGAAATTGTTTTCATCATAAGAGTATTATTTTTACCTTCATTTTCTTGATTCATTAATCTTCTATCTTATTCAGGTAAAATTAAGTCTGCTTAAAGGGTGTAAGATATTAATATCCACACCAAACAGTGTACTGCGTATGTTGGATCAAGAATTTACCAGTTTCAAGCGGCTTTGCCATATCGTAAGTACATTGGGGAGTTACATCCTCCTCACAGTTTGGTTACATGCATGCATGAATTCAAATCCTTTGATTGGATTTTTATATCAATTTGAAATATTTTGTTGTAAAATATAAAATGGGTGGGTAGAAAAATTCAAGATCCCAGGAAGGTAGCTATTCTTGGAGATGAGGTTAAAGCTGATAAAAAAAAATCTCCATGAAGGGTGACGAGGGCAAAAACAAAAATGATATCAGAACTTCGAAATACTGGGCCATTTTTATTTTTTTTAACATGGATTGCAATGGACCTATTTAAGTTAAAAAATTCCAGAACAAGACAGAGAGAATTTCTTCAGCTGTATTTCAAAACCTTTAGTTTAACTCAGAAGTACCTAAACTTTTTCAAGTAAAAATGAAATGAGCGAAAACAACGAACGTGTCGTCAAGAAGCCTTCATCAGCCAACAGACAGTAAAAACCAGAATAAATAATAATAATACTTAGCTGTAATGCAGTATCCGAAATGACAGAAAGTGGATTCCTCTTGCTGTCCTCTTGGATGCTATACAAGAGCTAAGTGTTCTTTTTATTTAATTTTATCTTTTCTGATGTTTGTTCGCTGATGAATCCACTTGCTGTCCCAGGTTTTCCCATACTTTGTTTGGCCTTCGCTCTTTTCCTTTTTTCTAACTTGATTGCAGTCTCTCCCCCTTATTACCATTAATTTTTTTCAAGTAACAGCGTCCTTTCTTCATCGAGCTTTTCCCAAAGATAAAGAGAATATTCATGCCCTCAAAAATTTTCAGTGTTTAGACAAAAAAATAAACAATCTATTTTTTACACTACAAATGAGAAGAAATTTTTTTTCATGAATTATTATTAACTTAAACATTGTAACTCAAGCAGTTAGACCAATTTTTTTATGAGTTGTCACAATCACAATGTCTTGTAAACCATAACAGAGGCGTAGTGGTTCAAATAATAGTGACTAAACTTTATTACACACGATCACAATAATAGTGAATACGAAATAGGTCTGCAACTCATGCCAAACAGACTATATCTGAAAACACTCGGACGATATCATTTGTATTTCAATACTAGCTTCTTGGTAAACTTCTTTACTTGATAAAGTGTTATCACACTATGAATATTCATTTAAAACATAAATGTTCAATCTTCTTACATAAATATCGTGAATCAACTGTCATATTATTTAACCACCATTGCTTGTTTCACTCCTTGTTCTCTCCTGATTGGCCAGTCCCAATATTATGTATATTACATAAGTAATAACTCCTATATTACTTATCTCCCATATATTCATATCTGTGACATGAGTGCATTTTGTACAGAAGATGCATTCATTGTGTCATATACTTCACATAACTGTGTTATTTCTGCCAGGTAGGAATTTCTCATGTTCATTTTTTGTAGAAAATATAGAAGTATACATTTGAGAAAGAAGTCTAACCTTTTCATTACTTTTCTCTTTTATTTCTTTTTGCAAAGGTTTTAGATGATGCAGAAATGCTTGCTGCCAGATTCCCAGATGAGGTAAGTTGAGCTTTAAACAACTATAAGTGGATAAATCCTAAGGGAAGTACAACTTTAAAAATGTTTTTTAAAAAAAATTGCCAATTTATATCTTAACCGACTCAAGCCTAACCTACTTAAAGGAGCATACCTCCATTTTAAAATGCATATGTTATTCAAAAAATAAAAGATAAAACAAGCAATGTCATTGCTATTTATATTTTAAAAAATACAAAAATGAATGAAATAATCGGGATAACAAATTAAGAGAAAGCCTTTTAATAATAATATCTGAAGCTGACTATCGCATTTTTTAAAAATTCCTGTAGTCACCATGTGATCCATGGTCACTGTAGCCTGCTAGTATATTATCTACAGATCTGTAAGAGTATTGAATTTTATAGTCTGTTTCAGATTTATCTTCAACTTTAAAATCATTATTATTACTTTCTATTTTAATTTCAATAAAATCTACATCGATCTTTTAGACTGTTTCATTATCTAAAACTTTCTAGTCTAGTAAGCTTAGTGCCTTTTGGTTAATGAGGTTGGAAAGCCATGCTGAACTAAAAACTTCCATAACTTTCTCATTTAAAGATTTCTCTTTTAAAAAGGAGCTTCAATCGGGAGCGCAGCAGAAAATTTTAGTATAGAAATGTATGGTAGTTAAGTTGTTAAGTGGCCATAATGAGTGTCCTACGTGACTATCAACCTGCAAGGTGTAGGAAGGCGCTGGTGGTAATTTTGGAGGCGATCGCTGTGCTTATTGCAGGATAGTGTTAAAGTAATTCTGAAGGGTTTATTCTATGTTTTATTGTACTCTCCCCCACAGGTTGATGAAATTATGCAGAGATATAAGCTCATCATCAAGGAATACAAAGACCTTGATATCCCAAAACAGATCATGGTGTTTGCCAGTGAATGGAACAGCAACATTGACAGGTTTTGCTTGCAGTACACAAGTGTACCAATCATAGTCATCTCGTCACGGGTGGAAGCCTCTGTCTACGGTGGGGTCAAGCAGGTGAGCTCCATCAGTCTGGCTAACTGGCATGGGAGAAGAGATTAATGCAGTTTGACCTGGATCTAAATGAAATATTTATCAATTTTAATTTCAAGTAATAGAATTCTTTAATATTTTATTTTTTATTCCTTAATATTGAGAATTCATTTCATCATCAGAAAATGTCAAGTGTGGAGTATGCCATGACTTAAGTCTCACCCTTAATGTTACATATTTCTGGGGCATAGGCTGTTATTAAATGAACATTTTATTTGGCTCTCCTGAAAAAGAAACCTGAAAGATGTTGATGTAAAGCTAGTCTGTCTTAATGCATAATTTCTTTGCAGCAGCCATAGTGCTCATATTATTTCTGTTATTTTAAAATAATATATATCTGTATGCAAAACATATTTTTATACATCTAAATCATATAAAAATTTATAAAAGTTGCTTGTATTTTTAACCATAATCAGCTTTACTTTTATAGTTTATTTTTGTTCTCTTTTGTTAAGTTTGTGACTTTACTCAGATTGAATGAAAGGCTGACAGCTTTCTGCAATCTGCTGGATTCTTTAAAATCAGATCATGTTGTTGCATTCAGTTCAGATTCTGATGAAGTTGAGGAAATGTGGCAGGTTTGTCAAATTGATAGCATAAATGATAAATTATTATTTTTATATCTTTATTTAGATGTAGACTATGTTTATAAATACATTTTTTTATTGTAAATTACAAAAAGTGTCTATCTTGGGCAGTGCAATCCATTCAAATTTAATTATCTGTGCAAATATCGGAACCATATTGGAAAAGTATGGTTATGTGCACTGCAGTAGCACAGCCTGACTTTTGATTGACAACTTAAATTTTGATTTATTTAAACTTGAAAAATTGCTCGCTTAAAATATTTCTGTATAACGAATTAAAAAAGCTAAATAGTTCAGAAATTGACCTGTTAATAATTTAAATTGACCTCAATACACTTTCACACATATATTAAGACTGCTTATTTATAATAATAATCTTTACCCAAGAATGATTAATTCAGTCCTGTACAATGTTTTTATACAACAGCTAATTATATAACATAATTTAAAATACTACAGGCTGCAAGATCAAGAGGAGTCTACTGCTTGATAATACATGAAAAACTCTCCCAGGACACAATATCTGCTGCAAGAGACCAGTGGCTCCATTCCTCTCATACCAAACAGCTTTTACTCATGGGTAGGATTTGATTTTTTTTTTTTTAATCAAGGGCTTTAAATATTTCATAATATAAAAATATCATTTGTATTACTGTCTGATGTGCTTTTAAGTACTATTATTATTATTAATATTAGTTGGTTTTATATAGCGCTGTACCCCAGCCTAGGGCCAGGCTCACTGCGATTCATATAAAAATTAGCAATTACAGGAAAGTATACGTTAAAAACAACAATTTGTGGAAAGCTTGACCTCAACCACCCAAGTACTAACTAGCCATGGACAGTACCCAGCAGAATCAAGTGTTGTTTACAGTGTGTGTGTGGGGGGGGGGGGAGAATGAGTCGGTATAGTACAGTTTAAAGATATGGGTCTCTAATGACATGCTGACTTTAATGCAAACTCTAGTTTGTTGCTCTCATTATTCAGGGATTATGCTACGTTGTGAATCATGAATCCAGTAATATTTAACTGTGAGATAACCAGGTCACAATGGCAGCTAACCAAAGCAAAAATAGCTGTAATGTGTAAAAGTTAAGTAACTGAAAAAAGAAACAAAGGGAGTAAAATAATAAATTTAACACTTGGTTATGAATATTTTATTTTTCTACCAGTTTGCACTGACCAGTGCTATGAAGATCTGGCTATCACAAATGCTACTTGTGTCATCCATTATGGGCTGCCAGCGTCCAAAACAAAGTTTGGCAATCGCCTTATGTGCATGCTGGATTATTTTATTGACAGAACATCTAAAATTCAGGTAAGTTTTCCTGGTTCATTATACCAATTCATCAACTTGATTTCACAGTGCATTTGCACTTTGCAACATTCTAAAAAAAATTTATGTGGGCCTGCTTCTTAATTTCAAAAACAGTCTATCTAGTTATGTTAAAAGCTGTTCAAAATTATTTGGTTCTTGTCAAAGAATATATTTATTTATTTATTTATTTAGGCATTTTTATATAGCGCTTATCATAAAGCTCTAAGCGCTTTAAAATTATTAAAACATTTTGAAATATTTTTAACATTTTCATTATTCATGATTAGGCTGTGTTGTAACCTCAGTCAGAAAAAATCCCAATTTTATTATTATATGGTATAAAAATATATTTTGTTAAAGTAGCAAAGTTTTGTGTTGTGTTTTCTTTTAATTTTGATCAACGTTTTTAATTTTTAATATTTTAGTGTCCACTTGGTTTTATTTTTCTATTTCATAAAGAAAATGGTAATGTTATATTTTTCTTTTCTTATTATTTGCGACATAAACGTATGCAGTTCTGCAACCCATACTTGCTAGAATTTTCCCATATTTATGGAAAATTAGCACCTTCAAGGGAGTAAATATCATTATTTTTGAAGTCTTAAGATGTCAAATTATACACTATATATGCAATATTTCATTTGTCAGTAATACATTTTTCATGTTCTTTCACTTCAATGATTAATTCATTTTTACAAATTGTTTTCCTTTGTTTATAGCCTGAGATGCAACCAGTGTCCCATGTAATTTTGACTGAAAATTGTGCCAACCATCTCAGCAGCTTTTATGAGTTATTACAGCGCTGCCCTTCTGAATATGATGCTAAGAATTTGGAAGGCTTTCTAAATGGATATATAACTGCAAGCAACTAATAAATTCTTACCTGCAAACTACTCAAATTATGAGCCAACTGATACTGTATTATCTTTAAATTTGGATCATATTTAAAATTATTTTAAACAGCAGTGAATACTTTTTTTTTTTTTAAATGTTGGTGTTGTTTTTTCACCTTGTCATTAAAAAGATTTTTGATTTTTTTTATGTGTTGGTTTTGGTTAAATCAAGTAAATGCCTAGTAACAGCCTATTTAAAAAAAGGCACAAACTCAAAAGTATGTTTTATTTTATTGAATATTTTTCAAAATGAAAATATTAAAATCTTTGATGTACATTTGTCTATGACAAAAAATTGAGGGTCATTATATTATAACAGATGAGAATTTTTTTTAAACTGATTTTGGACTAAATTTACTAAAAAAAAACTTGATTTGAAATGCTGAAAATTCCTTTTTTACTATAACATTATTTCACAGATTGTGTCCTTAAATTTGATGACTTAATATTATCTGTGCAGTAAGGGCCAATATTTGAATTTTATTTTATCTTTACTGGGAAAACATTTTTTTTTTAATTAAACGTGTTCACATCTCTAAATTGTGTATCTGCTTCCTCAGAGTCTGGAATCTGACCCCACGAAACATCTATGTCCTCTCTTGAAGTCATTTGGCAAGTGTATGAAGTAAAAAATTCCATTTGTTAATTTTAGCAATTCTCATATTTTTACAATTTTATCAATATTACCAATGGGGCTTCTAGCACTAAATATATATTTAAAGTAATTTCAAAAGGTCAGCCAACAGTATTTTACTTTTATTTTAACACATTTTTTAAATTTAAAAAATTGTGGTTATTCATCGTCTGCTGGAAAAAACGTTGAGCGTTATTCCCAGTCGTTTGGTCACGTGACAGTCACTCCCACCCGGCTGGTCATATGAGGGTTACTTCCAGTCGGTTGGCGTTGAATTGTAGCAATTACTAAACAAAAATGTTGATAGAGAAACGTACACTGTTTTCAACTTTTCAAGAGTTTCACGTAGTGCAGAAGAAACAAGACAAATGTTGTGTGCTCTGTTACATACAGCTCAAAGAAAGTAAGAATAAGATGATTTTTCATAATTTTATGGTGTGTATTCTATTTTAAATATCATTCTATTATTTTTATCATCAAAGCTGCTTTTTTTGGCGGTAAAATAGGCTACTGTAATTTAACTATAGTCTAATTGAAACACCTGGTGCTAAAAATAATAAAATCACATTTAAACACTACAAAATTGCAGATATTTAATTTTAGGTTGAATATATATATATATATATATATATATATATATATATATATATATATATATATAAAATTTACATCTATGTTTATTATGTTATTATATATATTATATGCAAAACCGATTTGCTTGTCCAATCTAAAAAGTCTTTAATATGTTGCTATTTGTGACATTTTATCGGTTCATTTTGGACCAACCCTGTGGTAATTATCTGGATGTTGACTTCACATTTATTTTCTTTCAGTTGAGAAAAGAGATACACTTAAGTATGACAATGCTAAGTTTGTTTACAAGCAAGATTACCCTAATAAGGAATTTAATAGAAAAGGCATCTGACCAAACCTAAAGTAAGTCTTTCTTTCCCTTGCTCTCTCTGAGAATAGGTAGAGTTTAAAAAACCTTAGAAATGTAATGTTTGATACATATCTGTATTTATAAACACCCCCCCACCCCGATTTTTGTACAGTATGGGTTGAATATTTTAGTTATTTAACTAATCACATAAATAAATGTCAGAGGCAATGAAAAAGTAGACAGTCTGGCAAAAACCAGGGCTGCCCAGCCTCAACCAGAAGCACCAGTCACTTACCTCGGTGTTAAAAATTGCTGGCTGACCATTTTTGAAGAAAATGGTACATGCAGTGGGAAGACTACATGAAAGTCAGAAGTGATTTTGTTAATATGCCACATCCTAGCAAGCATGACCCCCTGGTGGAAGTCAGGTTGAATTGCCCAACTAACCCATACTTTCAGCTAGACAGCATACCTTGTAATGAACTTTCAAAATATGTTTCCAAAAATAAAACAATTTTTAGGTTGAAACAGTAAAGAATTAATTTTTTTTCTTCAGTTTTCAAGACTCTATGCATCAAATAGGATTCCAGAAATGTCTTGGCACCTTGACAGCATGCTCAACATTAAATATGTATTAACAAAAGACATCCAAGAAATGATCATCAAAAAGGAGGGCAAAATTATACTCGGTTGAGACATTATGTCTTTAAGGCAAAACATTTGTCATCAGGAAAGAGTGGAGGAGGCACAAAATGTGAAGAGGGGGGGGGGGCTTCCTTCAGTATGGGACAAGTGAGTGTGGTGAATTTAATTTTATGTCATTCATGACAGCAGATATGCTTAGTTCCCTCAAAGAAATAAATGAAGGGACTGCTTTCAAGCTTAGTGAATGAATAAAATAGCGAAACGAGGTATGTGGAAGCTTGAAATAAGGTAACAGAACAAGAAACAAGGACGTTTCGGCATAAAGCCTTCCTCAGCCAACAATAGAAATGAAAATATAACGAAGAAAAGAGCACAGTAGACAACTCAAGCAGTATTCATTCATGTCTCCGGAAGTGGGAAAACAGGAAGCGAGAGAATGTAAATATTGACACTGTGAGAAATAAAGTCCACAATAATTATGGACCAGAATATCCAGGGATACAACAACACATAGTAATAAGAGAATAGATGAAATATAGGGAAACGGAGAAACATCAGTAGGATATTATTTGATTAATACCATATGGAGATATGGTGCCAAACAGCTGAATAAATTTATTTTCCATTTTAACCCTATCTGGTGTGTTACTGCATGAAATCAATGCCGTAATGGTTACATCCAATGCACCTTTATGTTCTTTTTGGTTGAAATGAGAAGAGACCGGGGAAGGTTTACATTGCTCAATATCCCTTAGATGTTCATATCTTGTATGTAATGATGTAAGACACAATTTTGAAAAATTAGAAATTCTAGGAAAATTTTGTGTGTTTCTAAAAATGTTTCTACATGTGAAGCTGTATACTTTTTAAAATGATATACTTACAATGTTTAGATGTTTATATAAATTCATTCATGCTTGCGTATTTAATTTTTTAAAATGTTAATACTGTTAACAATAACAGAACAAAGGAACTAATATCAAAATCACTAATTACCGGTATACGTTTTCTGTATAATTACATTTGTGTACATTTTTTTATCAATTCAAATTTATTTTAACAATTTTAAGTAAAGTTAATCTTGTATTGTGTTTAATATTTTTTTATTGGCATGAGTTAAATTTCAAAGTACAATTTTGTAAATAGTGTTGTCCGAGAACCCATTTTGCTGTATATATTTTTCTGTAAATATTGTTTGGATTTATTAACAGTAATTAAGCTTTAATAGTTTTGTTTGTGCTTATTTGCTTTTAAGAGTTTATTATGTGTTTAATGTTATTGTTTTTAATTTTAGCATTACAAAATATTTTTAAATTATGAATCTATTGTTTCCTTGTTTTGTGTGTATGTTTTGACCGTTCATGTAGTGTAAGCTTGCACGCATGTACCTTTTTTATGAAAAAGTAAATAAACATTATTAAACTTATTAAATTTGTTATGTAATTTTTGGAAAATATTATTTGCTGGCATCACGTAATTTAAATTGTAATATTAGTATTTTCGCACTGGCACGGTACATCAGGTCTACCAATAAGGTGCATCTGCATGAGAACACTTGTGTAGTCTTCTTGGGCACTCACAAGTATTGCTGGTAATATTTAAGCTGTCACCAGAGTTCATAAGTTTTGTTCAAGTTTGGGAAAACAGAACAGAGTGAAAAATATTAATTTATGGAAATTGGGAAAATTCTAAATTTTGGTATAATTTTTTTATCAAACTTGCATTTAGCAATAACTTGTTTGATTTATTGACTTATTTTAAAAACAAATGCATCTTACAGCTCTATGAGTGCAGAGAAACATGCACAAATAAGATTTTAATTTGGACTACCTATATGCATTACCAGTAAACATGAAAACATTTTAGATTTACCAGTATGTTTAAAAAATGTTACTAGGCCTATAGACTAATAATATATTTAATGTAACAGAATATGTTTTATTCTTCATGCTAGCAGATCGTATGCCCCGATAGGAAATGGTTATCACAACGTGAAATAGGTTTTGATAATTTATTTCTTTTTAGCCTTATTCCCAGCCGATTGTTATAACGCCTCCTTTAAAAAAAATTTGTATTAATAAATTTGTTTGCCAGCTGTGTTTGGTTTTTTTCCGCCGACTGATCATTTTTATTCTTCCCAGGGACAAAGTCAAATGTAAAAACAGACATATGTTTATTCCTGAACAAGACATAAAGACAGGAGAGTTCTCCATGAACACATTGCCGCCATCTGGAGAAGTCACGGTAACACTAAAACTCAATTGTACAAGACCATAAACAGTACAAAATAACTCTAGTTGCTTTTTGTGCCCTTTAACTATATTTAAACTTTTAAATCAGTAAATTGTACGCACTTTAAATGAAATTGGGATATATTGAAGTACTACTTGTCAATAACACCATTTTTTTAAATTACGATTTTTTTTAAAATCTCCAGTTAAAAGTCATCAGAGTGGAAAATGCAAGTCAATATTACTGTCACCTTATTGAGCATAGATCTTACCCTAACAAAGTTCGTACTGACCTGCGTATTGAGTACCAGAGACTTGCAATGCAGTTGTTTTTCTTTTACAGTGATGAGAATAACCGTGTTCCCTATGTTCCTAGTGAGAATCATTGTAAGTAACCAAAATGTACTTTATATTATAATTTGTGATGTTGACTAAGATTAGATTTGTTGAATTACCAGAAACCAGTGAATAAAATAGTGACTGCTTTTATTTTTACTTTGTTTTCATTTGGTTTAGCGGAGGTTCATGAGTAAAGATCCTTGGAAGATTCATAGTCTGGTACTGATATAATATTTCCATTATGTGATAACATTCTACATTATGTTTTTCTATGTGTTATAAATTATTGTCGAATAATAATTTGCTTCCTGTACATTGAACATAAGTAAACATACACCTGCAAGTTTATGGCTTTCTCTTATTTTAACAGTTGAGGATGGCTTGTGTGCTTTCATGGATGAGGAAGGCTCATTTTACAGGTTAGTAAAGTCTTAATATTTAAACTTTCTGATATGTAATTTATTTCAGTAAATATTTTCTTTTTTCACAATTAACAATATTATTTATTTTATTTTTGAACAAATGTCTTTTCATCATCCTTCAAAGAGCTAAAGTTGTTGAAGTTTCAACTGTGGTCACTTATTACCAGTCAAGACAATACAAAGTGTGGCTGGTTGATGCTGGATGCTACAAAATTGGCTCCATTGAGCAACTGGCGAAGCTGCCAAAAAGTTTAGCTGAAATACCCTATCAGGTGACATGACAATGCAAGCTTAAAATACATTGGTTCTTTGCTTAATCATATTTAAACATTTTAAGAATAAAAATATGTTACTTGACGAAAACTTTTAGTCAGGGGTCTCAAGCTAGGCAGCCTACAGGGCAACGAGCAGTTTTTGTTTGATGCACACGCTTTACTTATATTGATTGTTTTTATTTGAAGCTCTACAATCAATGGTATAACAAAATGTCAATAAAACTAGACTAAATGTCAATTTTATACAATTTCCACTGCTCACTTTATGGCAGAATTTGAGAAGCACTTTTATAGTTTTCTTTTCTCTATTTTAACACAAGATTGATTTATTTGCTTTTAGGCTATTGAGATCTTCTTATGCAATGTGGAACCCATGGATAATGACACAGAATGGACGGACAAGGTAACATTCTATTTTAGTGGAAAATATGATTTTAGTATTTTTAGTTGAGTCTTTGAGTTGATTTGCTGTTTTTATAAATTTTAATGCATCTTTATGTGAAGTTATGTTTAGTTAATTAGTTTAATAAGATGCAAACAATTTGTGCAAAGAAAGCAATATAGGTAAGCTTTATTTATTTGAAGACAAAATACAAATTTAAATGTTTTGACTAATTTCCTCATCACTACAACAAAGTGATATATAACAGTAATGTAAATTAAATTTGACATTATATCTATCATAACTATTAAAAAAGAAGAAAAAAAGAAAGAAGGGTGGGCACAAGTCCTTCACAAAAACAAAGATCAGAAGAACAGAAAGGAAGTTAATTAGTGAAGGATTATAAGCAGTGTTCCTTTAGTGGTTAATAAATGTACCAAAGTTAGAAGAAAACCTCAAGAAGGACAATAACAGAAAGTGAATGTTTTGGTCAAAAAGCCTTTGACAGAAAATACAGTTAAAGACAGAGACAAACACTCTTAGAGCTTGTCTTATAGATATGTAGTCTACAGGAAATGGTAGATATACGCAACTTCAGAAGTGACCCACAAAATGAAAGTCTTTACCTTTGAGATTGACGGGAAACATAAAATATTAGGAAGAAAGAAATAAGTAAATAAATTAAATTTCAATTTTGTATGATTCAGAAAGATGGTTGTCAGTAATGAAATATAGTAAAATGCTTTAAACCAAGACAGTATGTATGAGGATTATTGTTGTGTGTATTGATTGTCCTGTGTTGTATGACTGGACGTGGTGCCTTGTTTTCATGAATGTTTAAACTTAAATGTGTGAACATTGGTTGGAGAACTTGAGAGAATGATCATGTGATTTACAAAAAGAATGTAGAATTGGAAATACAGGTTAGTTGTTTCACAGACACAGACTTGAGTTGGTATCTTATTATACTATTACGTAAACCTCTATGAATAGTTTACTGCATAGACACCTTAATAGCAGGTGGTTTCATAATACAGCAAATATAAAGGTCATTATGAGGAAGGGAAAGAAAATTCACAGTAATCTGTCATATAATGTAAAGGGCAGACCTGTTTACCCTCAAACTCTTAAAATCGTACAATATCATGACACAATCTTTCAATACATTATCTTAATAGGAAAAATAATAAACTTTCAAGTACATATAATGTATACACCTTAAAATTGTACAGAATTAACAGGTTTGAAAGGGAGATAGAGATAGAACATGACATTCATACGATGTGGTGTCCTTATCTCATGGGTGTGTATCAGTTCGTTTTCCAAAGTCACCCTTGCTTGCATGTACGTAGAGGAAATAACAGCTTTAATGGGCACATCTGTCAAGCCATTGTGGTCACTCCTATTGAAGTGAGAAGAGATGGGACATTGTATATTTCTTATTGCTTGAACCTGAACGCTGTCCTCCCCATATTTTTCTTTAGTGCTTGAGTTCTTATTTTCAGGCATAAATACTGTAAAACCTAAACCTCTATTTCCTTTTATTCAGGCTGACATTTATGCTCATGAACTTATGGATGGCAAGATACTGGTTGGTCGAATCATGCTGAGGTTTGTAGATGGTTGTAATAGCAATTGCCTCCTAGGTGATATATTAAGGTCCTTTTTTTTTTTTTGGCAAGGCCATCAAGATGTGTTGAAATATTTAAATGAAAGTTGATCGAAACCCGGTGGCAATTTTCCACATTGTGACTTTCATTTCAACCATAATTAAATAAAATAGCAATTGCCTCCTAGGTGATATATTAAGGTCCTTTTTTTTTTTTGGCAAGGCCATCAAGATGTGTTGAAATATTTAAATGAAGATGGATCGAAACCCGTTGGCAATTTTCCACATCGTGACTTTCATTGCAACCATAATAAAATAAATATTAAAACTTACAGTGCATAATGTGATAAGTGAACATGATGCTGAATTCATTTTTACAAAACTTTAACCTTAATATATTTTTATAATGATCTGCTTATTTTATTTTATTCATAGACATGACATTAAAGTGTAATGAAATACATTATCAATACTTATATTTTCTCCACCAGAGTTGGACTTACCTTGTGGCTGCGCCCGTTGGTTCATCAGCAGACTTTGAAAGGAGTTGGCACCATCAATGATATCAACATCAGACATGAGCTCCTGAGCAATCATTTTGCAAATCCTAATCCTAATGTAAGGATCGTGAACTTTTGATTTGATTAATATGTCCTTTACACTGCAATTTTAATTAATTTTTTTTCGAGAAGGTTTACAAATACGGATGATTAAGAAACCTCAAATAACTAGACCTAACATTATTATAAAAGGAAGAGCTGATGTATCAGTTGTGATCAAAATGTTTATTAGACGTATGATGACAAAATAAATTCACTGTCAAAACCATAATTAACCCTCGACATAAATAATGCTGATTGCAGGTTTTTTCTGTTCTTATTCTATTATACATCACTGCGATTTCAATTTAAAAATCTCACATTTGCCATCTCATTATACCAATGCAGATATCGTCAAATCAAATGTTCTGGAATCCTTTAAAAAAAAAAAGTGCTAGTGAAAATAGAAATTATATTATTCACATGAAATGAAAGGCGGAAATGAAAATTTTTAGCTCTTAATAGCCAATGCTGTTTGTTTTATTTTCATCCCCTCCTGTAAGATCCCCCAAAGCCCCTCTCAGAGTTAACTTTTGGTTAGGTTATCTTTTAAGGAGCTCCAACATTGGACTACATAAAAATGTTTTGCTTTTTTTAATCTACTTTTTATGTGTTTGTTTACAGCACATAAAGCTCCTCTATGAATTCTTCAGAGGGAAAATAGAAATTCCAGAGGACATAATGCAACAGTATTATCATTACTCCCTGTAAGCCAATCTAAGTGTCATATTAATGTGTTATATTCACTAAGCGGTCTTAATTTTTGTTTTCATTCGGAACCAATAATATATTTTTAACTTTATATAATGCATATTAATTGTATATAGCATGTATCTTATACCAATTGAATTTCTTTTAAATCTATTTTATTTTGAAATGTTCACATGATTATAACTTATTAAAAAAAAAATTTAATTCAACAATTGAAATATAATTAATTGTTTTTAAGTTTTGTTTTTTATTAATCAAAGTAAATTTAAAATAATAACTTATGTGTGTGACTCATGTGAAGGGGAAAAAAAATCTTTCTAGCACTTTCAGTTTTGTTTGCTAGTAATTCAATAGGAGCTAAGTAATAATATAGTTTGAAATACATTATAAAAAATGTATTCTTTTGACAGAGAGATTGAGATGTCACAAGAAATTCTGCCTGACCGCTCAGAGTACCATTCAGTATCAATAGCAGCAGTGATAAATCCAGAGCGGTTGTACCTTCACAAATTGGACAATTGGGACGCGTAAGTTATGGTGCTGTTCAGGCTTTGTTACTTTATTCTTAGTTACTTAAGCTTGCATGTCACAACAAATCTACATATGCAATGTTCTCAAATCTAATATTTTTCTTTTACATCTCTTTATTTTTATATTTAAAAATTGTTATTTTAATAGATATAGGGTGTCTATAAGTATATTTAATGAACAAACAAAGGTATTTTATATGTTAAGCTTTTTTTAAATTTTTAAATGTGTTTGATTTGCAGCCTAATTTGATACAGGACGAATGAAATATTATATAGATGCACTAAATAATATTACAAAACTACCTATTATATTTAAAAAGTTCTCAAAGTAGCTTGAATAACAGCAAGAAGAGTTATAAAGTAAATTTTTTCTTTTAAATGTTACATGATCCCATTGTTTCTTTAGACTGATGGAGCTGCAATCAAGAATTGCAAGGACCATGGCAGTAGAAGATGGCAAGGACAGTGAAAGCTCCCCCAAAGTAGACTCATCCATTAAATTAGAACTTGGCAGCGTGTGTCTTGCACAATCTGAGAACACGTTAGTATCAGTTTTTAAGATTCTGTTAACAGACATTTTGATAGATATGATTATATCAAACATCATCTAGTGTTACTATTTTTGCATGGCCTAACCTTGCTCTTCAAGTTAACATGTTCAAGTTTTTACGTGTTAAAAAATAATTTATATATTTTTTTTTTTTATTCTAGAAACATTTTTAAATTTACTGTATAGATATTGGTAAGGGACCTTTTCTAAGAGTCTTTAAAGTTTAAAGCCAAGAATAAATTTGTATTCCATAATATATATTTACTGCAGCAATGCAACTGTTTGTACAAGATTTTAGTTCTAAAATTTCATGGCAGCTATTTTGAAATATAATTTTAACAGGTATCAAATATAATAACTATTAAGGCGCTGCAGTTTAGTTCAACACAAAAAGAGCTTGTAACTGAGCCCTTAAAAAAAATCATAAAACTTATTATTTGCCTCTGAAGCTGGTACAGAGCCAAAATTGTGTCTGACTGTGGTAATGACATCTGGAAAGTTTTTTACCTTGATTTTGGAGATGGAGAAGATTTGCCTGGTCATCTCTTGAGACCTCTGCCCAGAAAATTTTCACAGTTGCCATGCCAAGCAATTGAATGTCAGCTTGCTTACATCAAGCCTACAGGTAAAGATGCAGAAGTTGGTGGGTTTTTTTTCAATTTTTGCCTTAATTTTTTTCATTCTTATTTAATTTTGCTCATCTTGTCGAGGTGAAAATTTATAGGCGAAATGGACTTGTATGACAGTGTATTGTTTTGTAAAAATAATTTTCATTAGGATGCCTTTAAACTAGTCTAATTTTATTAAGAAACCGTTACATTTTACTTTGGCGGGAGGGGTGTTTGTCAAAAGGACATAAGAAGTTGTTTTATTTAGTGAAAAAATAGAAAAATTATATAAGACTAATGCTTGTTATAATTATTGGAGTGGCTTTAAATAACATTAAGCAGCCAGCAAGGAATTCATAAGTCAGAAAATTTTCTAGCACTTATATAACAGAATCTTATGAGTTTAAATTAGGTAAGGATATTTACTTATGCCAATGAAAAACAGCACAAAAGCTACAATACAGCAAATAATTAAGTCTTACTTCTTTTGCTGTTTGATAGAAACTAATTTAGTCAGTGATCTGTTGTTTAATCTACACTGATGATCCTCTAGTCAAATTTTTTAAATGGAGACATTAATTATTTTACCCGTTAATTATTTTACCCTAACTGAATCTATTTTTCAGGAGCTGAGTGGTCTAAGGGAGCTAGCGAAGTAATCTTGGATCTGAGCTACTTTGTCAATGCAGTAAAGAAGAATCTACTTGCAAAGGTGAGAGAATGATTTTTCTAAATAGTTTTTTGTAGGGTGTGATCAAGTACATGAATTCATTCACAGCACCAGTGTAAACACTCCCATATTAACACTACATCAAAGAAATGACAGTAAGAAAATAGTTTTATTAATGCTGGTAGGCACTCATTAAATAGTAATAACCCTATTATAAGAATATATTGTTATTTATCTTTTCGTACAATATAATTTTCACACTCTATTATTTTGGTTAGTTCAATTTCAATACTATATTCATGAATGCAGGCAATACAATTTTGTAGAATAACTTGGCTGTTGCTAGCCATTGATTAAAACCGATTACTTCTATTAATTTGGTACAAATTATTATAAAATCCCATTAAAAGATCCTAGATTATCTCAATTTACATTTGACATATGGATAGTACTTTCTTTAGTTTGATTACAGTTATTCTGGTAAAATCATCTGATCTGCTTAATCCCATCAGCTGGTGTAGCGACCTAACTTAATGTGTATATTTCAGGTTGTAGACAAATCTGAACCTGTATATGGAATGGGCAAGAGACTTGTGGTTGATATCTCAAACACTGAGAACATGCACTTCTCTGAAGAGCTTGTGAGGAGACACTTAGCAGTTGGTGTTGATGAATCTGCTAATATTACGGTAAGTTTTTCAGGTACTTGTTGCTTGGTTTTATCTAAGGAGATGATAATGAAAGAACCACTTGTCAACCTTTAAAGACAAAATGTGAAAGCATTACTTTTTATTGAGCTTGTCCCTCAGTTGCAACTGTTCCAGCAGGCAGGAAATAGAACCAGTGATACAGTTTTTTTTCCCTTAGAGAGTCATGTTGCCTTGTGTTCAACTAATGGCTTGTTAAGATTATGGTCTCCACCTAGTATATTTTAAATTGATATAAAAATTATTGTCTTGTTTAGATCAGTGTTTCCCAAACTTTAAAGTTTGGCAGACCAGTTTGGAATTTGCACTAAAGACCACTGCCAGATTTAATATTCCTTTTTTATTTTACCATAAAAATTCATGTTATTTAGACCGGCAACGTAAGGCTCTTGGACCAGTGCTTGTCCACAGACCATACTTAAGGAAATAGTTTAGATCTTACAAAATTGTGTGAGATTTAGTGAAGATTTTTCTTAATTGTCTTATTACCTTTATAAAAGCAAACTGTATTTGTATTGAAAAATTTCTGTAAATTCAGAATTTGTCAGAAATGTTTAGAATAGTATTTTCATGTAATTTGAATAGATTATTGCATGAATAGATTTTTGCTTAGTTTTACTCTGGGGTCCAAAATATTTGGCCACTATATAAGCCAATACTCTAGCAAGTGACAACATACCCACTGTAGAATAATGGACTTAAAAGGAATATGATCTTGTTGTTACAGATGTTGCTGGACAAGCCAGCGTTAAAGTCACAGAGGTTTTTCAACCTTCAAGATAAGATTCCATTTTTGTGTGCCAATATTTACTGGTCTGAGGTTAGATTTCCCCCATTGAAGATTTATTTAAATTCAAATTTTTCTTTCTTACTATATTTCATAACACCTAAAACAGTTTTTAATGAAAGTTAAATAATTTTAAAAGCACTTGCTTTTGTCTTTTCTTTCTTCACAAGAAAGGCTTCATTTTTTAATAATACCTTAAAATTTATTGGACTAAATGTTCTCCCATATCCCTCAGGACCATGAAGAGTCAATAAGGCAAGCCAAGGAACTGCAAGGAATACTGAGCATCAGAGATCAAGGGTATCTCATTTACTATACTAATATAAACTTATTTAATTTACTAATATTTATAATTAACTAAATTACCCATTTTATTATTGGGTAGAATATTAACATGGATATAAAAAAAATAATATTTTGGTAATACTACTTCACTTGCCTGCCTGTATCAGGCATTTTTTTTGCATAAGTTTGTCATTGTGGGTGAAGCATGCTCCCTCGGCTGTTATAAAATCAAATAATCACTCTTGAAATCAATATTTGCATTAAGGGAATGAGGTTTTATGACATGAAGGCAAATTTTTGAGCCTGAGAAATACTCTAAATGTTTTATGTTTAAATTGTTATTGTTTAAATATAGTTATCTTAGTAAGAATATTTTTAAAATGTTGTGGAAATGGATACGTACAATGTAATCAAATACATTACAATGAATTTGGGTCAATAAAGTTATCTTAACTTTTCAATCATTATTTGATTTTCTCAGTTGGGATGTTACCATTGAACAGCGTGAAGTCCTTCAACCAGTTGTGAAACTATTGGGTTATGTAGCTGATGTTGAAGCTCATGGCATTGTGATCTCAAGTTTGACAGCTTGCTGTAAGGACAGTCAAATGTAAGTTGTATGATTATTTAGGACATAATTTGTCTTGGATGAGCTGATCTTAACATTTATTGACAGTGCAAGACTGTAGATTTCAGTTATATCTCTTTTTTCGGTGTAGCAGTTTAAACTTTCACATAACTCATCAATTAAATTTAGCCTTAAAAATGTGTCAAGATAGAATTTCCCCACACTTTTTTTTCGTGGTGACCCACTAGCATTTTTAGCCCTTTTTCTGGGCTGCAGGTAACATAAAATAGATTGGAATGTCTATGCAGTTTTTAGATATCGGTATTTCAATTGCAAAAATGTAAAAGAAATCAAACAGAAATCTGGTAAAATATCTATTAATGAGAACATCATGACATTTATCATTAATTAATTATCGACCATATTTCTGTTTATTTTCTTTATATTTTTTGTTTGTTTTTTGTTAACTAGAAAATTTAGGTTTGGAGGAAAATATTCTATTTCTATCCTCTGATCCTGATTATTATTTTTTGTCCCTAATTATTCCCTTACCCATATTCCTACTTTGTTTGGCCTTTTGCTTTCACATTCTCAACCAGTCATTTTAACCAGAATTTCATGCATGCCTTTAAAATAGTTAAAGAGTGTTCTGTGTGATTTTGTAGGAAAGTGAAAGTATTACAGCTATTTTGTGCAAAGACAACATGACTAGGGTCTGTGGCAATTGATAGGTGTCTGAACCATCCCCCATGGCTAATGACATTTAACAAGGTCAAGTTCTGGTGCTAACATTATTCAGACTTATGGTCTCCACCATGCTGACTAATGCTTTCAGAAAGGGAGATCGGATCGGCATCAACCTCAGGAGGCTACTTTTAAAATCCAAGGTCTTGATGGATATCAGAGATTTTCTGTATGCTGATGACATTTCCTCTTACTCTTATGCTGGATTAGAAGCTGATATGCTTCTTCAATGCCTGCACATTTATTTTGTTCTTACGCATTGGGCTGATATCCTGAAAAACCTAATGTTCAGCCCAACATTTAAATCTGAGAAAGGCTTAAAGTGATAAACAGCTTTTCTAACCTAACAGCCCACAGTCCAAAAGTGGCACAATCAATGATACTTGATTAACCTGGTTTAAAGTCATAACTACATGACATTTTAATGTAACTTGTCACCACAACCAGTGCATAACACTGCGTTGTAACAATATCCATACACTGTTTTAGCCAGTCAAAGGTGATGGAAGAAGTGTGTAAGATTTTCTAGAAGACAAATCAAATGAAGGAGTACAATAAATCACTTTGAAAAAGTGTGAGTTTTATTGTTAACGATGTGAGCAGAAAAAAAACATATATAAATGCCGTTGCAACTTTTGCCAGTGTAGACACTACCGGTATCAGTTTTAACAATTTTTTAAAAATATGGTCTTCCCAAAGAAATATGAATATTGTATGAGAAGAGCAAGAAAATAAACAAAGAAAAATTAATTTTAATTGTGCAAGTGAAAAATACTTCAAGCCTGTGTGGTTCCATTACATTTAGTGGTTCCACAAAATCCCAAAAAACAGCAGTGAGGTCAAGACAGCACGATTCCACAAAGGGATCAAGAAATCTGGAAAAGAAGGTGAAATGGAAATGTCATATGATGCCAAATATAAGAAAAGCATAGGTACCCTGAAGGATCAAGAGGACAGGAATGACCCAAAAACACTTGGGAATGTAATAGGGAAAGTAATAAGATTGGAAAGAGTTTAAGAAGATAGCAAGAGACCAGAATGATCTTTACTTCACTGGAAGTTGATACGGCAAAGAAGTGCGAGTGTTTAAACTCTAATAAGAATATCTAACCATATTGTTTTATTATGTGTCATTATCAATATTATAGAGGTGTACAAAAAAAATATAGAACTTATTTTAATTTTTTTTTTATTTCAGACTCTGTGATTTGGCTCTTTCTTTACACTTACCGTTTTGTTTGACAAGTTGCCTGGAACAGGTATTGTAACATCCATAATATAAAGGCTTCTTGTCCAATCCTTAATTATTATTCTCAATATACTATAAAAAGTAGATCACAATTGTTAAGAATCAAATTTTAATCTACATTATTTTTACAAGAATCATCTTCGTTAAATAAAAAACTGTACAATTTATTGAACTCTGTATCCTTAACAGGAAAGTCGGCCAGAAATCCAATACCAAGCGACTGAAGCTATTGCTGTCTTAGTGACCTTAGACAGGTAGGACTTTGTCGATAAGTAACTTTTAAAGCATATATTGGGCGGAAAATACAAAAAACTTAAAAACTTCTTTTGGGCAGAATTCTTTAAAAACTTTACTTGGAAACATTTTGATTTTCTAACACTTTCTGTCACTTGTCTTTAGAGATAAAACTTAAAACAAAATGATGAAATTTGATTCTGTCGATTTTCAAAATTATAATTAACTTGACCTGGTCTTCATCAACAATGAAAAAATAATTCAATCTATCTTAATCTATGGCACCTAAAATTTACATTGGATAAAAATTCAGATTCAACAATTTCAAATACATTGCAATTGTAACTTAAATTCTTGGCATGATTAAGAAGAAGGTTAAAATACTTATGATGTTATTTTGTTTTCTTACAGTTTCTGTGAGTATGTGAACGAGATTAGTGATCTTGTCAAAACTTTGGATGATTTTCTCAGTGTGCACCAAACAAAACCTGTGGATCTAAAAGTGAGTATACCTGCAAAATAATTAAGAGAGAGTTTTTTCAAAAGTGCTCCAAATTTAAACAATGAAAATGTTTTCCTTTAAATTTTTATTTAATAAATTTAAAATAAAGATTTTCATCAGCAATACGGATTTCAATCTAATATAACATGATTATTTAAAACTGGACAATGCCGCCGTGGACTTGACATCAGTCGAGAGTTTCAAGGCTGCCCTGGCACCGGCTAGGAGCCATTAGGACAGCCCCATCGTTTCCCAAACCGTTGATTATATGCCAGATCATGGTTGCAGCAACGTCGTCAATCAGAATCCACAATCGAAATAAAGGAATGCTAAACTGAAAATTAATTGAAATCTTTTTTTTAATAAAGTTAAAATTATCCTTTTTTTTTTTTTTAGCTATGGATTTAGACCAATAATTATTGTCTCCAAAAGAATCAAATAATTATGTCTTTACAGCAGAAAAAAGGTAAAATGAAAATAATTTAAACGTTCTAAAAAAGTTCAATTTAAAGAAGTTCATAATTTCATATCTTCTATTTTAGACCCTCAAAAATCTGTGCTCTTCAGCCTCTCATCTTGTGGAGTCATGTTATGATAAAAGGTGAGACCCCAGGCATAAACCATTTAAGACAAATGTACTTTACAAAAATAACATTACCTTTACAAAGTAGGAGAATAAAGTATAAAATCAGCATAGATCTTATCAATAAATGACATTATTTATACATTTAATTAACAGCTTGTGTGATGTGTTAAAAAGACCAGAATTGATTAGTCAAATTTGCAAAAACATTGCAATGACATGTAATGACAATGAAAGAGAGCCCTGGTTGCAGCTCCTTGCAGCTATAACTCTCTGGAAACAGTAAGTAAATAAAAAGCTTTTCTCAAATTTTCTGCCACCGACTTCTAGAATAGTTTATGAGGGCTAATGGAATCGTTTTTGGTTTTTTTAAACACTAGTAGTAGTAGTAGTAGTAGTTTTTAATATATAATTAATAAAATCTTATATTATATTGTTGCATAAATGCATTATATTTTTTTATTCATTTTTTACTTCTTATGTTGTCAGAATAGCATCATTTTATCCCTTGTCTCCTAACATTCAGTTTTTTAATATCACTGTTGAAATGTTTGGTAAATTATTTTAAGTGTAAATTTTATGTAATTTGGTGTAGTAAGACCTAAGTAGTGATGGTTATTAAAATTATTTTATTACAGCACCCATCCGTCTGTTATGAGAGAGGCCAACATAGATGTTATTTTACAGATGTTGACTAAGTGTGTGGATCAAAAGGTCAGGAAATACTTAGAAGTTCATTATTGTCTCGTATAGCAAAACTCAGTTCAATTAAGAAAACATAAACTTTTTCTCTCCAGATCAAAGCTGCCATCGTCAATTTTAAATGATGCAAAAGAACCAGTTTGTTTCATTTCCTTTCTTAGCTATTTGCTTTAAATCACTTTTAATCAAATCTAGAATGATTTTCCTTTGATAAACATTTAGATTTTATTATTTTCTATGAGTTTTTACAGAGAATGAAGTATTTAAAACAGTTGTATTGATTATCTATTTTATTTTTGTTTACAGTGATCTAATAAAGGTAGAAAATATTACACTGATGACTATTCAGATAGTGATTTTATGATTTCGGATGCAGAGGCTGATTTTGAGCAATCGTATAATCTTAGTAATAGTACTAGTGACCAAAGTAATTATGGAATAATCAGCTGATGAACAACCAGCCCCGCCCCCAGCTTAAGTGCCTTGTAGAAGAACTAATACTGTTCCGTCCATCCATCCCTGTGGCACTAAAGCCCATGTAGGGCTTTGGCCTGCCTCACCATTTCCTTCCACTCAGGCCTAATGCATTTCTTTCCATGCTTGGATTCCCAGCTGTTGTAGATCTTTTTCCACATCACCCATCCACCTAAGCCTAGGTCTGCCTTTGAGCTGTATTCCTCTGGGGCTTTGGTGATGCACCCTCTTCACTCCTCTCTCATTTGGCATTCTTTCTAATTGTCTTGCCCAGCATAACCTACCCTTTTTTATTTCTGCTACTAGCATGGGATCCTGATATGGACTATACAATTCCTTGTTGGTTTGTATTCTCCATCCATATTCATCCTTTGTTGGTCCATACATTTTCTGGAGAAATTTTCTCTCCCATGGTGTTTAATAGGTTTTCTGCTGTTTTTGTTAGGGTCCAAGTTTCACTTGCATATGTTACAACTGGTCTGATTACAGTTTTATAAATAGTTTTGTTTTTTCTTGCAATGTTTTTACTTTTTAGTCATTTCTGACATCAGAAGTATGCTCTGTTACCAGCTGATATTATTTCTTTTATTTCTCTTAGTAATTTGGTTCTTTCATTTAATAAAGATCCCAGGTAATTGAATTGATTTACTTTCGAAAAGTCTGGTTTCTAATTTTAATGGTTTTATCTGTCTATTCTTCCCTTATCATAGTGATTTATTTTGTTTTTTGGTTGCCAACTTCCAGCCCTGCTTGTTGTGATTCATATTCTAATTCAATAAAGGCTTTTGGTATGTCTTTACTACTTTTCCCTAAAAGTTCTATGTCATCAGCATATGTAAGATACTGAAGGGGTTGATTGTAGAGAGTGCCTATTGGTTGTAGGCATTGAATCTCCCTCAGAAAGTATCCTGCTATTGTCAATATGTATGCTTCTTATAACTCTCTCTGTTAGGTTACAAGGCAGTGAGTTTCCTTTGTCTTAGGCCTCGTCTAATCTGAAATTCCTTGAATATTCTCCCTGAACCTTGACACTGTTCCTACTATGAATAATGTAGATTCTAATTTGAAAACTGCTGATCTTGGCACTAAATCTGAGTGCAAATTCAGATTTTTACCTTTAAAAAATGTGGGTGTAAATTTGGAGCTTGTGACTAGTAAGTCTAATGAACTTGACTGTTGTTTTACTTTGCTAGACACTGTTATTATTCTAACTTAAAATAGGCAGAAATTGTATATGCATGTAACTGAAACCCAGAAATAATTCAATAATTCAAATTAGGATAGAGGATAAAAATTCTTTTTAGTCATTTAGCCATTTGTACAGCTATAAACATATTTATCTCCAAAAATACAAGAAATTAGAGCACAATATGATACTAATAAATTGCTTTTATTACATCCTTTTACAAATTACATCTACCTTAGAAATATTGTTCAACAAACCCAATATAATTGTGTGAGCTTTTCTTCTGTTTATTTTTCTATGGCCCTATCTTGTGCTGAGATTGGAAGCTCTTTTTTTTTTTAAATTATTTCAGTGCTTGTACTACCTGCTGTCAGTGTGTCAGAATCTTGTAAAAGGAAGCAAAAAGCACAAAACAGATCTGCTGATTAGCAATCTATTCAATATTCTCAAGGGGTAAACTACTCTTTTTGTTGTTGTTTTCAAAAGTAAAGTTATGTGACTTGAACAGCTTTTGTTCATTTAATCAAAAAAGGATTCAGTTACCGTAGTTCATTTTACACTCGCAGTAGCGAATGCTTAAAAATCTTTTATTTATGCTAGTTTTATAAATAATTTTACAAACCCAATTTATTATATGTAGAGTTTTTATAGCATTGTTTTTTATTTTTATGCTTACAATTTCAGTCTTTTGGACAAGGGTTTGAAAAGTCCAGCCTTAGAGTTATGTGAGAGTTTGTGTGAGGAGATGAACTTGACCTTACCTCCACCCAGTGAGTTAACCGGAGTACCTGCACAAAAAGCTGATGACATAGCTAGAGTGTAGGTTTTTGTAAATGTTACTACACCAAAATAGTCTAGTACACACAATTCACAAGTACATTATTATTTTCAGAACTTTGCAGTTTCAGTTAATACACATTTAGCTTGGAACCACTTACTAAGTCAGTTTTCTGTTATTATATAGTTAATTCAGGTCAAATGTACACACAAACATTTGTTTTAAAAAAGCCACCCAACGGCTCTGCTAATACTTACTTCTATTCTATCAAATGGAAATGAGTGAAACAAAGTATTGGAAATCCTGAATAAATAACGTGACAAAACAACGAACATGTGGGCAAGAACCCTTCATTAGCTAACAAACAACATTAAAAACGGAATTAAAGTAACACTTAGCTGTAATGTAGTATCCGAGAGGAATGTGACAGAACATTAGTGGGTGAGAGATTAAATACAGGTAAAAGGGGACAGAAGAGAGGAAAAGTAAATCTGCTGAGATTGGTCGTAATGAGGAAGGGTTGGAGAAAAGGTTTAACAGGTGAATGAGAAACTGACATTCATGCCATGTGTTGTCAAGGTTCCATAAGTCTGGATCAGCTTGTTTTCCATTTTTTAACTAATTTTTACCACATTTTTTATTTAATTTTTAATTAATAAAAAATTAAAGCAGAGATAACTTTTTTTATATCTTCTTTTTTTTTTCTTCTTCATAAAAATAATATGTAAGCTTCCAAAAGAAGTTAGGTTAAAATGAATTCTATCTTCTTTCAGTTCATGTTTACTCTACAAGGTCCACTTTTTTTCACAGGGTCACCCCAGATGTCTCATGGTCACAAAGCTGTTTTAGGGTTGTTATTACCTTTAAAGTTAGACAAGCCAAACCCGAGGACTTCACTATCACAGAAAACAGAATTTGCTGCAGGTGAGGGAACTATTTCTTAATACTGGATTGAATTCTGAGCCCAACTTGTTTTTCAAATACTCTCGTACAGAAGCAATTTCTAGCAGCAGCTGTGATAAATTAACATACATGTTGAGCCCTAAAAATATATAACTTTTTTTGTTGTAATTCAAAAGGTGAGATAATAAGGGATAGACTATTTCCTGTACGCAAGATGTAACTATTCATTTTGTGTGCTGGGGACACACTGTGATGATAGTTATCTAAATGTATATAACTGTCACTGCCACTTCTATATAAAATGAATTAACAAGTCCAACTTCACACTAAGCACTTTATTCACATAATAAATAATCCTTGGGACAATAATAACATCGACAACAGCACAGGATGTACATCCTCAAGATATATATATATATAATTTCAATTCTTGGAAATTGATTAGTTAAATACAATATGTATGTCCACCTTGTTCAATTATGTCTGCTGTCGTCCTTGCACATATTTCACATTTTATCAGATAGAAGAAAAGAATCGCACATGACCTCACAATATAGTGGCCTTTACCCTATCAGTTATATCTGTATATTTGTGTGCCTCAATTGATTTCATCCAATATCAAATCAGCATGTGCAAAGTCATACTTTTACACAATATACACAATTACTTTAATGTTTTTGAATTAACTTGGTGCACAGGTTAACAAGAAGATGTTGAATTTTTAAACTTAAACTAAGCAAAGATATTTTTTTAATGAAACATGTTTGTATGTATTTAATTATTTTTATTTTGTGGTTGATTTTATCATTTGAATGACAAGGCTAAGCCTTGATTATGATCATATAATGGACAGTAGTGATGAAGAAGAAACTGAGGACCCCAACAACTTCTATCAATCACAATTACCAAAAATTATTCCACATCCTAAAGAGATTATAAAATATTGAGATTAATTTGGTTAAGCATGAGAATTTTAGTCACATTGTAGAATTATTTCTCCTCAGTTGTGAATCGGGTGGAATTCTCTACCAGTTAGACTGGGAGCTGTATGACACAGTTGTTCCAGCAAAAACCAAGTATGCCGCACAGTCTAGTGTAATGCTGATTTCACTTGCCAAGAATGTCAAGGGCCAGTGGAGTCGTCTACTGAAACAAAAGACTAAGGTATGAGTTTATGACTGATATGACAGATATTCATCAATATAGTCTTCTTTACAGTTTTTTTTTTCTTTCAACTTGAAATGCTATCAAGATTAAAAATGTATTTAAAAATATATTGCTTATCAGTATATGTTTTAGAAATAACGTTTTGTAATCTCAGGTCAACTATTTTGAGATCAATTCCTACACATTATTACATTAAAAATTAATTTCCACAGCCCCCAACGCTAAGCCTTGATTATGATCATATAATGGACAGTAGTGATGAAGAAGAAACTGAGGACCCTAACACCTTCTATCAATTCAAGAAAGACAGCCTGCTGACTTCTTCAGAGATGACAGAGAACGTCATTTATGAGGATAGGTTTGAACCGTCGGAAGAAAGTACCAGCGAGGCTGAATTAGCTGCCTTCAGTAACAGTGACTTTGAGGAGGATCCGGTGGATCTTGAGAGAACCATTTTAACCTGCATGAAACCTTAACAAAAAAATATCAAGTGTTTTACCCTAAGTCAACCATTAATTGAAAAATAACAATTTCTGCACATACTGGGAATATGGGTTGTCCGAAAAGCTATGATGGTTGAAGACAGATTCTGGATGAGAGTGTCAAATTTAAATTTTTTAAATGCAATGTTTGCATTTTTTATTTTTTTTTGTATTGATTAGAGTCTAAATCACAATTAAACACTCTAAATAAAATTCAAAACTTGAATCATTTTAAAAATGTATTTTCTTTCCAATCTGCCTAGGTGAATTTAGTAAATTTATTTTAAAAATGTAGTGCTATACATACATTACATATAAATAACCCTCCTCTCTCTCTCTCTCTCTCTCTCTCTCTCAACCTACCTTCCTCCCACACCTCATTTTATCTTCCTTTTTAAAAAAAATGTATTTAATTTAAACTTTCATGGCAACTTTTGTTATGGTTTATAGAAAAGTGAACAACACAATATAGTGTATAGTAAATCATATTGGCTAGTTGCTACAAACATTTATTTTGAAAAAAGATGGTCATGATTTTTATTAAGATTTGTTTTTACTGTCATAAAATTTGTGTATTTCAGTATTTGTTGTAACTCCTCCCCCACTATGAACACCCTACTCCAAATCTGACTTCTCCCTCAGTGGATACATACTGGTCATTTATGGATGGTACTAGCCCCAAAGTTGGTCCACTGACAAAATTATTTAATAACATTTTTTTTTATTAAGCAGCACTAAATGTGCCAAATTTTTCTTTATAAAAATAAGCTGCCCGTAACAACTAAAAATATCTTATTGTGTTCAAGAAAAGATCAAGGAAAATCTTTTTTTTTTATTTAGTTGTTTAAGCCAAAAATTTCAACTTGTTTGTTTTTGCTACTTGCAGAATTTTAATGGAATGTTTTCCTATTTTTGTTTTATATTTAAATGTTCATTCATTTTCATTTTTACTTAGTTCATCAATAGCAGTGAGAATTACTGTTTCTATGGACTATTAAGAACTACAATCAATATCCTTGACAAGAGTTTTACAAACCAACTTGTATTGTTTCTGATTGAGACATTCCCTGGAGTTTTCCATCAAAATATTCCATGGCCCTGAAATATCATAACTCTTGTAAATAAAATTGAAATTGTATTTCCTTAAGTTAATGTTCTGAAACTTTTTAAAAAAATGAACAAATTAAAATGTGTTATTTGATATTGTTCATAGTTCTGAACATGCAATGTTAAGTATACAGACTTCTGCCAAAGACCTCGCGCAGCACAATGAGAAAGATTTGCTGCCCTGAAACCTGACTCCAACAGAAGTAGATGATTGGCCTCACCACAGCCGACACATTTTGAGTGATCCCAAATCGCAATGCCAAAAAGTTTTCTAAAGAAATGTGTTTTTTCACACTCACTTTTTGCTGTATTAAGAAGAGCAACTACATACATTTGTGATGGGGTCAGGACTTATGGGGTCCTAGAGGTGTTTAAAGCAATTATTATAAAGCTGGAGTTTCCCATGAACTTTGGTTGATGTCCTTGGAGTTGAGGGACACTTTTAGACAATCTTTGTAACAGTTTCCTTCCTGCTAAGATTAAAGAAGCTTATTTAAACAGTGTTAGCTGGCAAAGTTTTAGTTATCTAGCATGTCTGCTGTCCATGTTTCACTGTATTACTTTCAACTTAAACATAGTGGCTCATGATAGCTTAACTTATGATTGAACTTTTAATAGCTTTGTCCTTGTATTAATCCAATAATAAACATAGAGTGCAGGATTGTGACATGATGTTTTAGCCTGAAGCCAAAAACTCCAAGGTACGAGTCATTAAAACTTTGGCTCCAGTGCAATATCCTGAATGAGCCCTTCATCCAAAATACGAAATTGAATCAGCTCTTCATCCAAAAATACGAACTTTAATCAGCCCTTTATCCAAAAATACGAACTTGAATTAGCCCTTCATCCAAAAATACGAACTCTTGAAAATGTAGTTTTCATCCGGGGGGGGGGGGGTGGAGTTGCCTATCGATGCCTAAGATTATCGGAAAACACATATACTCAGCAGTTATGAAATAGCAACGAAAATAATTTTGCGGTTGGGGGGTCGCCACAACATGAGAAACTGTATTAAAGGGTCAATGCATTAGAAAGGTTGAGAACCACTGGTCTAGAAAATCAACGTTTCTTAGTGGTGTGTCGACAAAAAAAGAAAGAAAAAAAAAAAAAAAA